ACTCTTTCCAAGCAACAATTATACTGGTTATTTTAATTATGATTCCTCTAATGACAACCCAGTAAGGATTATCAAGACAAGGCATCTCACTGCTATCCGATTGATGCCAGCTGTGCAAATGCTGCAAGATTGTGTGCTACTCAGAGGGAGAGAGCACATGAACACACAGGAGTCCCAACTCCTTTTCTAATCTACTCATTAAATAGGAAAGAGCAGGTGAACAGTAAAAACCATCTGCTTAGAACAGCAGCACAGACCTAGTGGTACACCACACCACAATCCAAACACAAATGCTCAGGAGAGAGCTCTGGGCTCTTCTAAGCACAGGCTTCTTTTAGTCCTGATCCTGCCCAATTTGGAGATCAAAGCATTATAGCTTCAGATAGTGATACTCTCAAGAGGGTGGAGAAGGAAGGTCTGAGAGACTCAAATAATGAGGACATTATTAGGCAACTATCCCACTATTTACAAATACACATGAGTAAGAAAACTTCGCCTCTATCCCTGCGAAGGGGGGGAAACTAGAGGAGGTCAAAGAGGGTATAAAGGTGATATACTGTATGTCATACTATCTAATCTAATAAAAGAGAAACATGCAAATTGACCATACTTCGGCTACACCCACAAGCCACGGCCCCAGCCAATCAGGAGCAGATATGCAAATTAACCCAAATAAGATGGTGGCAGCCACAGAGCCGCCTGGAGCAAGCAGGAGACTTGGGTTGCCCCTGGAAATGGAGGAAGCCGAGCATCCCACTTGCCCTGCCGACCCTGAGCTCCACTCAAGGTTACAAAGATTAAATTATAGAAGATAAATAAATCCCAGATACCTATTTTCCAGCCCACCAGCCCGCGGCCCTGGCCAGCCTGAAAACAGTCATCAGCCCCTCACACAGGCTGGCCAGGCACCCCAGTAGGGCCCCTCCATGAAGGGGCTGTGGCCAGCCTGCAAACAGCCATCAGCCCCTCACTCAGGCTGGCCAGGAACCCCAGCAGGACCCCACCCTGATCCAGGACACCCTTCAGGTCAAACCAGCCGGCCCCCACCCATGCACCAGGCCTCAATCTAATCTAATAAAAGAGAAAGATGCAAATTGACCATACCTCTGCTATGCCCACAAGCCACGCCCACCAGCCAATCAGGAGCAAATATGCAAATTAACCCAACTAAGTTGACAGTGGGCACAGAGCTGGAGGAAGCAGGAGGCATGAGTTGTCCCCAGCAATGGAGGAAGCTAAGCTTCCCCCCTGCCCTGCTGGCCTGGAGCTCCGCTCAAGGCTACAAATTTTCAGTTATAGAAGATCTATAAATCCCAGATACCTGCTTCCAGCTGGCATGGCCTCCCCACAAGAAGGGGCTGGGAGCCTCTGATGCCAGGGGTAACCTGGGCTCCGCTCAAGGCTACAAAGTTTCAATTATAGGAGATAAATAAATCCCAGATACCTGCTTCTAGCCCAGGGCCATGGCCAGCCTGAAAACGGCCATCAGCCCATCACCCAGGCTGGTCAGGCACCCTAGTAGGGCCCCCCACCCTGAAGGGGCTGTCGGCAGCCTGAAAAGAGCCCCCAGCACCTCACACAGGCTGACCAGGCAACCCTGCGGGACTCCTACCCTGATCCAGGACACCCCTCAGGGCAATCCCCCTGGCCCCACCCATGTACCAGGCCTCTATCCTATATAATAAAAGGGTAATATGCAAATTGACCCTAACAGCAGAACCACTGGGAATGACTGGTCACTATGACACACACTGACTACCCAGGGCAGATGCTCAATTCAGTAGCTGCCCCCTGGTGGTCAGTGCACTCCCACATGGGAAGCTCTGCTCAGCCACAAGCCAGGCTGATGGCTGCCAGTACAGCAGTGGTGTTGGGAGTCTCTCCTGCCTCATCAGCAGCACTAAGGATGTCCAACTGCAGCTTAGGCCTGCTCCCCGCTGGCAAGTGGACATACCCCGAGGGCCCTGGACTGCCAGAGGAATGCCTGACTGCCAGTTTACGCCTGATCCCCTGGGGAGCGGGCCTAAGCCAGCAGGTGGTCATCCCCTGAGGGGTCCCAGACTGCGAGAGGGCACAGGCAGGGCTGAGGGACCTTCCCCCGCCAGTGACAATTTTTGTGGACTGGGCCTCTAGTCAATAATAAAGTTCTTTTAAAAAAATTCATTCTTTTTTTTATTTTAATGATGAACATGAAGTTATCAAATTTTAAATATCATTTACCATCACTTAAAAAATTGAAATATTTAGGTATATATGTAACAAGTTACAGAGAATCTGTATGCTGAAAATTACAAAATGCTAATGAAATAAATCAAAGATTGATAGTAAATGGAGATATATCACATGTTCAAGAACCAAAGACTTATAATGAAGATGTCAATCTTATCCAAATTGGTCTATAGGTTTAATGTAATCCCTACCAAAATCCCAGTCACACTTTTTGTACACAAAATATATATTAAAAGGCACATACTTTAGAAGATTTAAAATAATCAGCACAAAAACAAATAAATAATAAATGATAATTCTACCTGATGATAAGGCTTACTACATAGCTCTAGTAATTAATACAGTGAGGTCTAGACATATAAATCAATGCAACAGAATAGAGAACATAATATTGACCCAGTAGACATAGACTTAAGCAAATATGCTTAATTTATTCTTTATAAAGGTGCAAAAGCAGTTCAATAAAGTAAGGATAGCCTTTTCAACAAATGGTGCCTAATAAAAAGGTGCATCCTTAGGAAAAAAAAAAAAAAAAAAAGAAGTTAACTTTAATCTGAATCTCAAATATTATACAAAATTTAAACTAAAATGTATTACAGACTTAGATATAACACTTAAAACTTTAGAAGAAAATCTTCAGGACCTAGGGCTAAGTTTGACATCAAAAACTTGTTCCATTAATGGAAAAAATGATAAATTAAATCTCATCAACAGTAAATACTTTTGACTTTGCAAAACCCCTTGTGAAGAAGATAAAAAGACAGTCAAGTTACAGACAGGGAGAAAATATTTGCAAACCAATTATCCATCAAAGGATACTATCAAAAATATATTAAGAGCCCTGAAAGCTCAACAGTTTGAAAAATCCAATTGGAAAATGGGCAAAAGACACAAACACTTATTACACTGAAGAGAATATATAGAAAATATGCTCAATTGTCAGGGCAACAAAAAATAAAAACTGCACTAAGGTGTCATCATTTGCTTATCAGAATGAATACAATTTTTAAAATTATGATAACACCAAACATTAGTAAGGAATCAGAGGAATTGAATCACTTGCTGAGAGGAATGTAAAATGGTACTGCCACTCTGAAAAACACTGTAAATTTCTCATAAAGTTAAATCTGCAATTAGCTTCTGACCCCAGCCAGCAATTGCATTCCTGGACTTTTATAAGAGACTAGAGGCCTAGTGCACGAATTGGTGCACCAGTGGTGTGCCTCAGCCTGGCCTGCAGGATCAGGCCAAAACAGGCTCTCTGACATCCCCCAAGGGGTTCTGGATTGCAAAGGGTGCCGGCCAGGCCAAGGGACCCCACTGGTGCATGATCAGGCTGGGGAGAGACTCGGGAGGTTGGCCAGCCAAGGAGGGACTGCGGGAGGGGGGCGTGTCAGGCCCATCTTGCTCAGTTCCCATCGGCTGGACCCCAGCAGCAAGCTAACCTACCAATCAGAACATCTGCCCCCTGATGTTCAGTGCACATCATAGCAACTTGTTGAACAGTCTTAGCATATCATTAGCATATTATGCTTTGATTGATTGAACAACCGACTGGTCGACCAGACACTTAGAGCATATTAGGCTTTTATTATTTAGGATAAATAAAAATTTAAATTCACACAAAAACTTATACAGAAATACTTACAGCAGCTATATTAATAGCCAAAACCTAATATTCTTCAACAGATGAATGATTAAACAAACTATAGTACACACATGCCATGGAATACTACTCACCAATAAAAACAAATGAATTATTCATACATACTAAAACATGGATGAACCTCCAGAGAATTATGCTGAGTATGGGGAAAAGGTCAATTAGAAGGTCACATACTGAATTATTCCCTTTTTGTAACATTTTCAAAATATAATATTGGGAATTTATTAATGGATAATAGGGGTTAGGAACAGCTGATTGGAAGGAAGGTGTTGTATGTGGTTATAAAAGTGCCACCCAAGGAATACTTGTGATAAAACTGTTTCATATCTTTAGTATGGTTGTAAATACATAACTCTATATGTGTGATTAAATTGTGCAGAGCTAAACACATACACACACACACACACACATGCATATTCTTTGCAGAAATATAAATAAGATATATGGATTGTATCAATGTCAGTATCTTGGCAGTGATATTATATTTTACAGTGTTATGAAATTTTACCATTGAGGAAAACTGGATAAAGTGTACACAGGGCCTCTGTATTATTTCTTATATCTATATGAAAATCTAAATTTAACTTGATAATAATTTAAGTTAAAAAATGGTGATAGAAGACATCACTAATGTTTAAAGAATTATAATATCTTATAATGAATAGCAACTGTGACTACAAAACATGTACAGCAACTGACCTAAACATATGTTTAAAAATGAAAATCTATTTTAAATATTTATCCCTCAATAACCAAAGTCAATGACTGTGACTAGAAACTTTTATTTATAAACCACTTCAAGCTTTTCATCTCTAAGCAGAATAATTTTGCTTTCTTATCTATCACCTTATAAATTCATTATGTAATACATTTCTAAAAGATTCTCTCTTGTTCTTCAAATTTTTCCTCTTGTAAAATTATAAATATGTTGGGAAAATTATTATTTACTTGCACATGCCCAGGTTATGGGCTCGACCCCCAGTGGGGAGCATGCAGGAGGCAACCGATCGATGATTCTCTCGCATCATTGACGTTTATATTTCTCTCTTCCTTCTCCTTTCCTCTCTGAAATAAAAAATATATTAAAAAAAGATTTTTTACTTACTACAGAATGGATTTATGCCAGTAGTATCCAAAAACACAGTTGTCCTAAGAGATCTTTTCATTCTTTCTTCTAAAACATCTTTCCATAGCTCAGCTTGATGACCTGATATTTGAGAAATAGAACATTAGAAATTGGACTTCCATCAAATAGCTTGTAAAAATTTCAATTTCCTAAATAAACTAAAGCATCAATGTATATTATTATTATTATTATTATTATTATTGCTATTATTATTCATGGATTTTTATAACAAAACTTTTCAAATAATTTCACATATTTTAATTACAATAATAAGTCTTAAGTTGAAGATTTACAAATAAATCCATTCTCTGGAAATCTTATCAGAACTTAATGTACTCCATATGTCTACAGTCCATTTGTACACATTTTCATTATTGTATTACAAGTTCAGAATCGTACCTGTAACTCTTTTTAATAAAGTCATCAGAATAAATCAATTAGATAAAACTTTAACACTAAATTTAGCTCTATGAGTACTGCACCCAATACTTCTACATATACATTCATATAAATACGGTATGCCTATGTATACATTATATATAATATATAGTATAGGTAGCATTGATATGCACTATATATTATGTAAGTGATATATATTTTAGATACATACATTATAAGGAACATGTATTATACAAATAGGTACATATTAAAATGCTTCTCACTTCATGTATTTATCTGTTTCCACATTGCTACCTCTAAATTTGAGATATGAATATAGTAGAAAGGATACTAAACTGGGAATTCAGATGTTTATTGCTAGTTCTCACTTGTAACCTGAAGCAATCCATATGTTCACAGGAGGCTTCTTATTTATATGGGAAAGCAATGGGACCAGAAAAGCAACCCCCAAAATAAGGTATGAAGAAAACTAATTCTACAAATTGTCTTGTGGACTGACTATGAGAAAATAAAACTGGCAAAGCTTGCTTATTTCCTACCCCTCCATAGCAATTCTCAGTACCTTAATGCAAACCTCCTGCTAAAGAAAATTGCGGGAGGCTGTTCAGTTCAGCCTTTGTAATTGCTTCCCATTCAATTGAGGCCTTTGGCTTTGGAAACATATCTGGCAGACCTTGTCATGACACTGATCAGATGTTTACATGCTCATGACACGCTTGGGTTTTGCTATTCTCTTTAGAATCTCTGAACAAACAGACTTTGAGATTCTTTCCAGCTCTAACATTCTATTTTTATGTGGAATCTTTTTTTCACCAAATTTCCCATTGGCAGGCGTTAGTTCTCAGAAGTGGCAACACTTAAATGCTCTTACCAAGCTTTATCACTTCAGAAGGTGTGAACCATGTATGAGTCATGTCTACTTGCTAATAGCAAATGAAAAGCTAACTATGATTATGATTCACACCTCTTCAATTGCTCCTAACACTAAAAAAAAAAACCAAAAAAAACTCAGTGCCACTAAGAATGCACCAGGCTCTTTCTTTAGTGGAAATATACTAGTAGATGGATGACAAATAGATAATGAGTCCTTTTGAATATAAAAAATCATGAAGCCACCAAATATTTCCACTCTATTGAAAATAGAAAGGCATTTGATCAAGTTCCCCTCACTACACATATTAAAAATATTTAATAAAAAGTGAACTATTTTTTTCTGGTTACTACACAGATAATTTTTCTATAAAATGTTGACATACAAATAAATAGGAAAGCTTGAAGCAGCAAAATACTAATACAATTTGCTATACATTTCCCAAAAAGAATTATAGTAATTATAATAATCTCTCTTACCTAACCTAGGACATGATTTCTTTTTAAAGTTGTCACAATCCATACATGAACCAGCCTTGTAATCTTCATATGAATGACAAGGAAATGAAATAAAATTGCAGTTTGTTTCCAAAGCTGCCATGTACAAGTGGATTGCTCTCTGGTGGTCACATTTAAAAAATTGTATTCCTTAAGTGTTAAAAATCAAGCAAAAGAATTGTAAATGCATTAGACTGAGTTCAAGAAAATTGGAGAAAAATTAAAAATTAAGTTCTACTCAATACTGTTTCATGAATATTAAAGTGTTGACTACAATGCAGTGTTATTGTGAGCAACTAAATAAGTCATACAAATTAAAACTTAAGTTTAATATTCCCTTTACATCATATTTATAAGAAATTTTCGAAATCATTAGCAGCAATTTTTTAATTTCAATAATTTAACAAACTCAAACATGGTGCTATCTACACTAATAAAAGAGAAACATGCAAATTGGTGTCACTCCACTATGCCCACCAGCCAATCAGACGAGTATGCAAATTAACCCAACAAATATGGCAGTTAATTTGCATATGCAGGCACTGAGCGAAGACTGAAGACAACATGGAAGGAACCCAAGAGCTGCAGAAGGGAGGGAAGCTGTGGAGAAGCAAGCGGGGTGGCGGAGTTGGGAGTGAAGCCTGCCTTGGCAGGTTTCACTCCCTTTTCTGCTTCGCTCTGGCCGCAGGAAGCCCTATTCTTGCAGGAATCTTCCTGCAATGGGCCTCTAGTCATACTTAATAACTAGTATATACATCTCTTTTCTAACCCCACACTGTTAACATTTCTACTCAATGTCAAATATGACTATGAAATACTAAAGGTTTATCATGTCCCATTCTGGCCAGGTGGCTGAGTTGGTTGGAGCATCGTCCTGTACACCAAAAGGTTGCTGGTTCAAGACCCACTCACATTTTGGAGGCAACTGATCAATGTTTCTCTCTCACCTCTCTCTCTCTCTCTCTCTCTCTCTCTCTCTCTCTCTCTCTCTTTCTCTTTCTCACTTCTTCTCTCTAGAAAAATATATTCTCAGGTGAGGATTATTTTAAAAACTTTATCATGTCCCTTTTCCTTTGCCAACTTCTCATGTCCTTATCCCTTTGAGCAAACTTCTGTTGCTGCAGTAGCATCTAGCAGTGTGTTCCTAATCACTGTAGAACTCAGAGCATTACTCTCTAAGGCTTTGAAGTTAGCTCAATCCCATACATGAAGAAGTTTCTAAGCTATTTATGTACAAAACAACAAAGTGCAAGAATTTATAAATCTGTGTTTATACAATATTATGGTGACAGGAAAGATTAAATTGTGAGGCCAGACTTGTGGTATATGATACTTGGTTGGCTACATGTGCACCTTCAATGACTTAAAACTTTTCCTAATGTTAAAATTAAGAACTAAAACTGCTAAAACCATAGTGTACTAGTTCTCATCCATGACCATATAATATATCTACTGGTAAACTTTACAAACTAAGAAGGATAAAACTTAACCATTTTTCACCAATAACTCCCGATTCATGGCAATAGTGATCAAAGTTTTGCCCCACAGTTTAAGAGGAGAAAAAAAATACTGATTTTCTTTCATCATTTTGAATCATATGTAATTCATGTAAAAATGCTATTCATATACCTCCAAATATTGTTGTAGGACAGCCAGGCTGCTTTTCTCCTCCATTTGGGTAAAAATCTATATGTCCCACGGGTTCTAAAATGCCTAAACCTAAGAAGAAAAGCACCCAAGAATCACAAGATGCAAATAATCAGATCAACAATACTTGTATAAAATAAATTCTCCTATAAATCTATTGAAGGAGACTTAAAAATTTAAATTGAAAATAAAATAAATGCAATTTTTAAGAAGATGAGTTTTTCTGTTACTAATTCCTCAAATGAATTCCTCATGAAAAGTATGTTCATCAATTCAATACATTTACCAGTCACCAGTTTACTATGGGTCCATCATAATTCTTTGTGCTATGAACATAAATGAAAAAAATTGGAAATGCCAGTGGAAGTAAGACATAAAAAACCCCCAAAATACAGTATGTCAGGTAAGTGCTATAGAAAAAATTAATAGAATAAGGGAATAGTAAGTGACTAGTGGAGGTGGTAGTTTGCACTTTTAAGTAAATTAGAGAATTTCCCACTTAGGAGTTAAGAGTTGAGCAAAGAGCTGAAGGGTATATGTGAGGCAATGAGCCAAGTAGACAACTGTGTGAGCATGCCCAGGGTACTCAAAGAAGCCAGGTTAGCTACAGTATAATGTGTAAAAAGGAGCACTGGAAGAAATGAAGGGTAGTCATATAGGACCTTTTAGGCAAGTGTGATGCCTTACTCTTATTCTGGATAATAATGCATGGGACTTGGGGCTAGATTCACAACTTGGAAAAAAATCAAAAAATGCTGTTTAAGCTGGAACAAGTTGGGCCATAGTGACATGAAACATGTAGCTGTGATTTAAGGCCTTCTGCACATCTGTGGATCCTTGGGGTACTAAGAAGAGTACAAATTCTGGGTCCATTACAAAAATGGAGTCTATAACCCAGGTCTATAAAGAGGCTAACAAATTCACAATATTGAAAACTGTAATTGGATATAAAATTTTGCTGCCAAATAAGATAGCAATGCTTTGGCTTCAGGTGGAAGAAATATTCTACAACTTAATGAATTCTTGAAAGAGATCAGCAATAAATTTAGCATAACAAAGATAAATACTTAGATAGATAGTAAGGGTTACGATGACCCTCTAGAAAATGAAAAGGACACCATTCCTGAGTAGACACAGCATTAGATCAGACATTGCCACCACACACCACCCAAGAAAAGCTCATCTATAATAATAAAAGCATTATATGCAAATCGACTATGCCAGAGGCTAAAACCAACAGTAGTTAGCATATTGATGCAAAAAGACCCATTGGAAGGCCAATGGACTTTGATATTCAGCAGGGCTAAAATATCAGCATAATATTGCCCTGCTGTGGGCTCAATGGTTGAAGGCAATTCCCTAACCTGATAATCCTTTTACTGTTTACCAAACTTTACCTTTGATATGCCTGCATGCATTGCTAAAGGGCAAATGTGTATTCAAGTAAATAAAAAGCAGACGGGCTAGAAGTTGGCGTGCCTCTCCTAGAGAGAGGTTTCCACCTGGCCCCCATGACTTCTAAATTCATATTTCTTGTATAGTATTTTCATTTGTGCCTCAGCCCCTCCTTTAGATCCTGAACTCTGCTGCAAAGGTTGCGGCAGACTGAATGGCCGAACATCAAAATGACCATCCAGATGACCATACTATGACATGTACTGGTGCCAGGCCAGCCAAGGCAGGTGCGATGCAATTGGTCCGGGGGGCCAGGCCATCACCCCATGATCATCCTACAGAGGGAGGCCCAGGCCACCGGCTGGTAGGGCAATCAATCAGGGGGCTCCATGATTGCACCAAAGAGTGAAGCTCAGGTCACCCTCTGTGGGGCGATTGATCAGGGGGAACTGGGGAACCGGGTGTATGTGGTAGTGGACACGGGCAGCACCAGGCCAAGGCAGGTGCAGGGGGGGCTGGGGAGTGAGGCCGTGAAGCTGGCCATTCCCCAAGCTGGACCAAGAAGCTGGCAGCCAGGGAAAGGTAGGCCTACCATTGCACAAATTTTGTGCATTGGGCCTCTAGTTTCATAATAAACTTGCAAAATACTGTAAGTTTTAATATAATTTCTTAGAGAATTTTAACATTTATAAAGTGTTGCTTATAGTGAAATATTTACTGGGAGACATTATTGTAAACTAAAAATAAATTTTGGGAAATGTTTTCACAAGCTGTTAATAGTAATAAAAAATTTTAAGATTAAAAAAATGTAACAACTTGATTTAATTCTAGTATATCACAGAACAAAACAACAACTAGTGAGGTGTCCCCAGGGCATGAGAATACTGGGCATGTGCATTAAAGGACAGGAAATCAGTATATAAGGAAAGAGACAGCATGATTTAGATGCTTTATTAGAACCTCTTAGAATTCAGTGAATCATTGTGTGATTTGATTGTGACAGTGGAAAAAGTATGCTAACCAATCCCTCTTTACATGCCATCATCTGCTTAACTTGTGGAATTTAAGCAAGGATGAACAACCTCCTAAATGTGGCCAAAAAGTGTCCAATAGTTTGTGAGATCTTTAAAATTTCCTTATATCTGAGCTCAACATGAAGATGCAAGACTAAGGGTTCCAGGTTTAGAGTCATAATTTTCTCCCATCTGCCACTGAAGTAGAGTCAAACCAAGAAGACTGCTCAGGAATCATGGAGAAGCAAAATATATTTATTATTAACTTACAAGCAGCCAATTCAGGCATATTATGTCCCTTTTATCATATGGAGGGGGCAGGGCAGCATGGTCTGCTCAGGTCATTCATTCACTTGGCTTCAGGGTGGGGAGAGCAGATGTGGGTTTTTAATGCTCTTTTATTATATATGTAACACATAAATACAGAAAGTAACATAGAGCGTGATGCTAGTGATAATTATAAAGCCAGTAGCCACTTAGTCACTTGATACCCATGTCAAGAAATAGTAACTTAGAAGCCCCTGGTGTACCCTATCCAATCACCAGTTTTTCCTTCCTCTAAAAAAACCCATTTTTTTTCCATTTATAATATCCTTCATTTTGCTATTCTTTATCATCTCAGCTTATCTCATAAAACACTACAATTTAGATTTGGCCATTTTGAAAAAATACATAAATTGACTCATACTTCATGTATTATTTTGTGCCTGGCTTCCTTAGACTATTAGTGTACAGGGTGGGGAAAAAGTATGTTTACAGTTGTTCATATGGAAAATGATACAAAATTTAACAAATAATGATACAAGAATAAACTTTGTGTTTCATGTACTCACAACTGTAAACCTACTTTTGCCCCACCCTGTATTTCTGATATCAATCCACATTGTCAGGTGAATGTGCAGTGTCAAAATCTCTGTTCCCCATTTGTGATTGTCATAAAAAGATTACCGAAGATACCAACTCTGTGGCATCTAGTGGCAACTAAGATATGACCAGCTTTTCATCAAAAGATGCTGAGTAGGAAACTAAGATGGCGGCATAGGTAAACACCGGGAAATTGCCGCCTCCCACAACAATTGAAAATTACTGCAAAGGACAGAGCAGACATCATCTAGAACAACAGGAAGGCTGGCTGAGTGTAAATTCTACAACTAGAAGGAAAGAAAAGCACGCTGAGAGCCAGAGGAGCTGCGGAGGTGAAGTGCAGAGGTACAAGTGCAGAGGTACGGCGGCTGTCTTTTTGAATCACAAGCTCCCGACTGCTCTGAACTCCGGTTCCGGGAAGTCTCTGGGGACCCAGGACTCATACGGGGAGAAGCTGGTCTGTCCGGCAGCGGGCGAACTTGAAGGCGGCTTTCCCTCAGAGGTGCTTGCAGCAATTAGCGGGTCACTGAGATCCGCAACTCCGGGCGGAGAATCAGCCATAGCTCCTTGATCCGCCCTTTGATTCCCTGAGACCCCGCCCCACCCAGGCTGCGGCAGAGGCTTTTGCATGTGAATGTACCTAACTGCAGCCGAGCCAGGCAGACCCGGAACTTCCAAGAGAAGGCCCAAGGCCCCGCAGCGGCTTGCATTGCTTCACAGCTGAGCCTCTTCGTGGCTCCTGCTGTGTGGCCTCAGGCAGAGGCTGAATTAGCAACTCCTTAGATCCAGGAGCCACTGTACCCAGTGGTCAGAGGGGGACCATCCAGATTGCAACTCCTCAGATCCATAAGGGACACACTCAGGGAGCAGACACAGTGAGCACCAAAGCCCCACTGAAGCAAGTCTTGCCCCAGAAGGGTGTCTTCAGCACAGAAGTTCTCCCACTTTAGACACAGCTGATTCTCACAGCCAATTGGCCTGGAGTTCAATTCCTCCCAGTGATCCTACAACAACCAAGGCACCAAGAGTGTCCACCCCAGGTAACTGGGGAGGCTGAGCCACTGGGCCCTACAGGACACCTGGCACGCAGGGCCACTCTATCAACACAGGGAAGCAGCCAAAATGCGGAGACAAAGAAACAGGTCACAAATGGCAGAAATGGAGGAAAGCAAATGACTGGATATAGAGTTCAAGGCCACGTTTATAAGGTTTTTCAAGAATTTTATGGAAACCGCCAATAAATTTAATGAATCCCTCAATAAGTATAGTGAGACCATGGAGCACATGAAAAAGGACCAACTAGAAATTAAGCATACACTGACTGAAATAAAGAATAATTTACAGAGATCCAACAGCAGACAAGAGGATCCCAAGAATCAAGTCAAAGATGTGAAATACAAAGAAACAAAAAATACCCAACTGAAAAAGAAAAAAGAAAAGAGATTCCAAAAATATGAAGATAGTGTAAGGAACCTCTGGGACAACTTCAAGGGTACCAACATCAGAATTATAGGGGTACCAGAAGGAGATAGAGGGCAAGATATTGAAAACCTTTTTGAAGAAATACTGACAGAAAACTTCCCCTACCTGGTGAAAGAAATGGACTTACAAGTCCAGGAAGCGCAGAGAACCCCAAACAAAAGGAATCCAAAGAGGACCACACCAAGACACATCATAATTAAAATGCCAAGAGCAAAAGATAAAGAGAGAATCTTAAAAGCAGCAAGAGAAAGACAGTCAGTTACCTACAAGGGAGTACCCATACGACTGTCAGCTGATTTCTCAACAGAAACCATGCAGGCCAGAAGAGAGTGGCAAGAAATATTCAAAGTGATGAATAGCAAGAACCTGCAACCAAGATTACTTTATCTAGCAAAGCTATCATTCAGAATAGAAGGTCAGATAAAGAGCTTCACGGATAAGAAAAAGCTAAAGGAGTTCATCACCACCAAACCAGCATTATATGAAATGCTGAAAGGTATTCTTTAAGAAGAGGAAGAAGAAAAAGGAACTCTTACCATTTGCCACAGCATGGATGGAACTGGAGAGCAGATAAAATACCACAGGATTTCACTCATTTGTGGAATATAATGAACAACATAAACTGATGAATAAGGACTGATCCAGAGACAGAGAGGAATTGATTTGACTGTCGGGCCTTGGAGGGAAGGTAGGGGAGGGTGGGGGTAAGGGGGAAAGATCAACCAAAGGACTTATATGCAAGCATATAGGCCTAATCAATGGAAATGGACAACGGGGGGGGTGAGGGCATGAGCGGGGGTGGGGGGTGGGGGTAGAGGGTAACGTGGGGACAAGGACACATATGTAATATCTTAATCAATAAAAAATATATTAAAAAATAAAAATAAAAAAAAAATTAAAAAAAAGATGCTGAGTACAGTTGGCCCACCATATCCATGGGTTCCAAATCCATAGCCTCAACCAACCACAGATCAAAAATATTCCAAAAAAATGCATTACATTGTTTCTGACATGTGTTATGTAGTTAGGCCTATTATGGTTACAACTCTACTGAACAGTCCAGACTTTTTTCTTGTCGTTATTCCCTAAACAATACAGTGTCACAGTTATTTACATAACATTTACAATATATTAGGTATTAGTAAGGTAGAGATGATGTAAAGTATGTGGGATGATGTGTGTAGCTTCTATGCATATACTGTGCCATTTTATACATGGGACTTCAACAGCTGTGAATTTGGGTATGAGGGGGTCCTGAAACCAATACCCATGGATATCAAGCGATGACTGTATATGACAATCCAAAAGAGTTTATTAGGAAAAGTAAGCTATGCAAACAAAAATAAGAAAAAGTATACAGAGCTAATTCAAAAGGCTGTAGGCAGAATAGATATTGGGATTTCAGGAAGAATAGTTCAGACAAAGAACTTAAGAGTAATTGGGCAACAGGTGTGCTGTGTATAGGAATGTTAAGCTGATATACAGAGCTAGAGATAAAGGTAACTTGAGATGTTGGGGCTATTGTACTCAGACTATGAAACTTTGAGCACTGTAGGTGACCTTAGATTCCAAATAAGGAGCAGAATTGCTCCCACTGTAGTTTCAGTGGATTGGCATATAGACATAGAAGCTGAAAAATTGTTATGTATGGCATATATGGCATTTATATTCCTCACAAAGGCATTGCCACAAGGTACATTCAGAGTAATATGGGAGCAAATAAATTACTTGGACCAAAGAAAAAGAAACTCGAGGAAACAAGGAAATATGAGCAGTCCAAGTGTCTCTTCCTCCTGTCTCTGTCTTAACACCATATCCTTCCCATGACCACAACCACGAACACCTTAATCAGAGCAACATACTAGTCAAGTGTAGACTCTGTAATCAAAAGGTTTCATTTTAAAGTCTGCCTCTGCCACTTGCTGGCCTTGGGACTTGACCCTAGCTTCCCCATTGGTAAAACATGAATGATAGTGTTTACTTATCTATAGAGACCTAGAAGAAGTCCATAATTAATTCACATACACCTAAAGCATTGCCTGATGTATAGGAAATGTTCAATAAATCTATATATATAAAAGGCTAAGTGTCGTCCTTCCCTCCACCCGGAAGCTATGATGTGCACTGACTTCCAGAGGGCAGACGCTTAATGCAGGAGCTGCCATGATGCACACTGGCCATTTAAAAATAAACGGCACCATGGACCTGGCACCGACAAACTAACACCTGGCTTCTCCAAGTGGGACACAGGCCGTGCCACCACCCTGGAGCGACACCCTACCTAATTGCACTGGACACTTCCAAGACCCCATGGTGCAAAATGTGTCCCACAGCCCAGTCCATCCCGGAAACAGTCCCTGTGGGTGCCAGGTAATGACACCATGTATCAATGCCTGGCTTCCTCTCCCTAGTGACTAGCCTCCTTTGGAGTTTCTTCAGCCCAGGAACATGACTTGCTTTATAGCCAGGTGCAAACATTTTACAGTTTAACCAAATGTTTGTGAAGCATTTTTATGTGCCTCATCTCATTTGATCCTCACAGAAGTCCTGGAGTAGGTAGGTAGGAGACTCAGTAGAATCCTATTTTCTTTTCATTAGCTGAAAAACAGATATTTGGAAAGTTTAGAAACTTAGCCCAACTGAAAAGAAGTAAGAAATGGTGGACCTTGTCCTAACCAGTTTGGCTCAGGAGATAGAGCGTCAGCCTGTGGACTCAAGGGTCCCAGGTTCGATTCCGGTCAAGGGCATGTACCTTGGTTGTGGGCACATCCCCAGTAGGGGGTGTGCAGGAGGCAGCTGATTGATGTATCTCTCATCGATGTTTCTAACTCTCTATCTCTCTCCCTTGCTCTCTGTAAAAAATCAATAATATACATTTTAAAAAATCAATAAAAATATATTAAAAAAAAAAAGAAATGGTGGACCTTGAAAATGACTTCAAGTTTTCTCACTGCGCAGAATATAGTCAAACACTGCTACAGTCAAGTATTTTATCCTTTGTTCTCCCTGCGTGATCTACAATAATAATCTGCTTTGTGTTGATATTTACTGCTGTGTTGCTGACAATCACCTGAAAGAGAAGTTGGGATGCTTCACTAGGCTGGAAAAAGTTTAGCTAAATCAGAAAGCAGGTCTAATTAAGCAAGTTTTATTCTATGTATATAAAAGGCTAAGTCAACTCACACATGCACAATACACATAAAAGCTCCCGCTGGCACATGTGTTTCGATCTGTCATTGTCGATTATAAATTTGGTTATTTTTGTTGACATTCTGAAGCCTAAAGAAAGTGGCATCATTAACAGAATATGTCTGAAGATCAACTATTGTCACACATACCTCTGAAACCAAAAGAAGCTGGCATCGTTCATTGTAAACTAGATCCCAATAATCCAAACGCCACTAAAATGAAACAAATCAGTACAGCGGGGCCTTGACTTATGAGTTTAATTCATTCCGTGACGGAGCTCGTAACTCAAATTACTCATATGTCAAATCATTAAAGTGAATGAGTGAGACACGTGATGCTGGGCTGATGTTGTGGCATTCACTGTGATGTTCGCTGCGCCAATTAGCGGTGGGGTATCTGAAGCTGGCTTGAAACCCAAATTTTAGCTCGCAACTCAAAGCAAAAAATCGGCAGAGAGACGGCTCATATCTCGAAAAACTCGTTAGTAGGGACACTCGTAAGTCAAGGCCCCACTGTGTCCTGTTTCCTACATTATATGCAATGACATGTCCTATTCTTTTTCACATGGTGAAAAAGAACGGATATTGCTTAAGACTCAGAGATGACAGTGTAATCAACAATAATACTAGACAAGCCCTAGCCAGCTTGGCTCAGTGGATAGAGCATCAGCCTGTGGACTGAAGGGTCCCATGTTTGATTCCAGCCAAGGGCACATGCCTGGGTTGTGGGCTCGTTCCCCAGTAGGTTGTGTGCAGGAGGCAGCCAATCAATGATTCTCTCTCATCATTGATGTTTCTATCTCTCTCTCCTTCTCCTTTCCTCTCTGAAATCAATAAAGAAATATATTTAAAAAAAAACAAAACAATAATACTAGACAAAATGTAAGGACACGAGTCACACAGATGCAGTGTTATGGATTTCATCTCTCTATCCGGGATACATTCAACCCTATTTTAAATGTTGTTATATCATGCTGTTATTATTTATTTATTAATCAATTTATATATTATTTTCATTTATATATAATTTATATATTATTTCACATTTACTAATTTTCTTTCATCTCTGACACTTCTATTATAGAGAAATGGCAAATAGTGATATTAAAATATTTCTTCTAATTAATTTCCTTTCAATGTGCACAAATTCATGCACAAGGCCACTAGTATTATTATAATCAGTGTCAAAGATATCAGATTTCAATGAATATTTAAATTATTCATTGAAAGTGTCTGTCCAATGTATTCTGGCCAAAACTATCAATAGTCTATTAGACATTTTCAGGAAGAATAAATAAATTATTTTCCTACCAGTAGGGAAAAGTATTCCTTCCCTATGCCTGAATTGCTGTGCTCAGTTCTAGTTGATAAAACTAGAAAATGAGTGGAGAGAATGGTAACTTAAATACAATATGCATGGAGGAAATCGTGATCAAATCAATAAAACTCTCAATAAAATAATCAAGATGAAATATTTTTTATAATTTTTAATTTTTTTTTTTTTGGATGACATGATAGTTCTTGAAACCTGAAGTTGGGACACTGAAAACAAAGAGTGCCAATAGACACCACAGGATTTCACTAACTCCAAAAAATACAGCTTGTGGTAAATACACTCACTACATAGTTACAGATGTATCATCACTTTATCTCCTACTCTTTCTCTTTTTAGGTTCTCCTTTCTAAGTGTCTACATCCCTTTTTTCATTTTCAAATAATTAATCAATAAATTCTGCATTGTTACCATCAGTATCAGAATGGATGACATCCACAAACTTTGCATCAGTGTAATGTAATCTGTCATTTGATGGTTTTCCATAGAATTGTGGCCCAGCAGGGTCAAGTCCTGAAATTCAACAAAGAAACTATAAATCTCTTATTCAAGTTCTACTATAATGTTCACCAGATCATATGCTTGCATTATTATTACATCATAAATATAAACCTCTATAGTTTTAGCTTAAATCTGTCTAAAAACAAATTTAATGATAAATAAAATTGGATGAATAGCAAGTATCTTTACTATGTTAATAACTAGAGGCCTAGTGCATGAAATTCATAGGCCTGTGCCTTCTTGCAGTCTGGGACACCTAGGCAGATGTCCACCTGCCAGGTTAGGGGATTGGGCCTAAGCCAGCAGTCAGACACCCCTCTCGCAGTCCGGGGCTCTCGCAGTCTTGTACTCCTCTCTCATTACTGCCTACCTGTAGCAGAGGCGGGAGAGGCTCCCACCACTGCTGCTGGGCTCACCAGCCATAAGCCCGGCCTCTGACTGAGCGGCACTTCCACTGACTACAGGGGGCAGCTCCTGCCTTGAGAGTTTGCCCCCTGGTGGTCAGTACTTGTCATAGCGACTGGTCATTCCACCATTTGGTTTATTTGCATATTAGGGTTTTATTTTATAGGATACTTTTTACCAATTTTCAGAGTTTATCAACAATACAGTATTAAGTATCACTAGAGATGCCTCAACAAAATATTGTAGGTTTTAGCAATTTTATTTAAGAAGTAATTAGGAAAAAATGTTGGAACTTTAATAATAAATAACTACTACAACTTGTGAAGGGGGAAAAATCAATCCCAATCCTGTGCATTATTAGTTCATCCTGGGTCTATCTATAGGTCTAAAATAATGTTAAGCATCAGATGTAATTTGGGCTGTGGGATGAAATACATTTTTTACTGTTTTATATTTAAATAAACATTTATTTATCATTTACTTCTCACAAAAGTTTACCACACACATAAGAAAAATATATTAAAAGTTCCATGAAATATGAATACATTTCTGATATATTTTAAATTCTAAGTAAAAAGTCTAGGCCAGTGATGGTGAACCTTTTGAGCTCGGTGTGTCAGCATTTTGAAAAAACCCTTACGTAACTCTGATGCTGGGTCACATATAGAAATTTTTTGATATTTGAAACCATAGTAAAACAAAGATTTATATTTTTATAATTATTTTATATATTTCAATGCAATTTAACAAAGAAAAATCAACCAAAAAAATGAGTTCGCGTGTCACCTCTGACACGCGTGTCATAGGTTCGCCATCACTGCTCTAGGCTCATGATCTTCTGGATAGTGCCAAAAAAAGGAGGGAGGAGATAAAAGTCAATGCCTTGATAAGATATACACAATGGAAGACACATCATCTTAAAAAGAGATTTTTAAAGTAAAATATAATGTTGATTATCTCAGGCCCTTCTATTATTCTTGTTTATTTAGCCCACTTACTGACTAAGGCAGAAAATTCTCTCTTTCTATAAGTGATTCTGATGTAGAAGCTCCACATTTACTGGACTTGTAAACTTTCATAATTGCTTGACATGTATAACCTTTTAAATTGGACTAATATGTGATTAAACACACCTTAAAATAAAGTAGGTTTACCACCAGTTGAAACTGAGTTAGCATGGCGATTGAAAAAAAATATGGGCTTTGGCTGCTAGAGACCTTCGTGTAAATTCTGGTTTAGCTGTTGCTAACTTTTTAACACTTTCACATTCATTCAATTAACCTCAGTTTTCACATCTGTATAATGAGAATGACATTAAAACTGATCAAGGTAAGGAAGGTATACTAAAGGCTTGTAAACATCCTAACAATCTGTACTAGTTATCCATTCCTCTCCCCCTTTTGCTTAACTTCCCTAAAAACTCTATTACCTTTTATTTACAGTTGAAATTATTAAAAATCTTCTATAGACGTCAATCTCCTTAATTCTTAAAAAGCTAAACTGGTTGGGGAGGGTAAATATCCTACCAGTTCTCAAATCACCATTATTCTAGAGGCAGGTGAGTACTAGAATTATTGGAGGAGGTCACTTCGAAATTATATAGCCATCTAACCACTATACTGAATACCTGAAAATTATATAATTGTAATTGAAAAATAAACATTAAAAATAATAAAAAATTAAAATGAAATACTCACTGACTGGCACTTAGGTCAACTGTGAGGTCTGGAAAACCACCTGGACCCCTAGACCACTTGGTGCTGAGAAATGGGGCCTTACTGGCTGGATGGCATCATGAGCAGAGAGAGAAACTGGATACCACCTTCCAGTAACAACTCTACACTAACACAGTGGAAGCATGTTGCCCTGCCTAGCTAAGCCACTTCCACCACTGTCCCCAGAAAACTGATACATGCTTGTAGAAGATGGCAAGCAGAGAAAAAGAAGCCCTGCGTTCAAATTCAGATTCTTTCACTAATTAGGCTACACCTCAGAGGTAGGAAGACCAGATGGCCCTGATTCTCCCATGATGGGTGGCTGTGCTGAGTGGTTGAGGACACAAGAACTCAAGGGAGCACCATTTCCATCGTATCCTAGAGATGCACAGAGCTCAACCTATGCAGCCATGCTCTGTGGCCTTATGGCCAATTCATCCCTACCATAAATGGAAGTCTTCCAGTACAAAGAAAATCTGTAATTCTAAAAAATTTTACCAGCATTCCTAAAGGGAAGCATGAAAATCCATGTCAGCATTATTTGGTAATCAAGCTTACCGGATGAGGTAACTTTGTTATGAAAATATGAGAGGATCTGGAATCCCTTAAATTTAAATACCAACTCCCAACTCTCCTATTGTTCCAGTAAAATTTTTAAAAGTATTGAAATACATCAAATTCTTTGAAATTAAATATAGCACATTATTATATTTTCAGTTAAAAAAAGCTTTATATTTAATGGAACAACTTTTTCTTTGTATTGTTATGACGTGTTTTTAAAATTCAAATGGGGCTGCAGAAGTTGATCTGATTCTTTTCAATACTATAAGGGTAATATGCTCATCTAAGAACCAAACAAGACTTTTAAATCTAACTAAAATAAATACTAACATTTGAATATAATATAGAAAAAATAAATATTTGTGCATTATTTTTATGGCTTAAATATTATATCTATTAAAGTTTAAATAAAGTAATTGCTGATGCTTAAATATATGCAAACACATTAATTTTATTTAAAAATTTTTACCTGTTATTCTTCCAAGTTGACCTTGAAATATCTTTCCAACAAATCCACTAATATGAGCCCCTAAACTCATACCTATGAAATGAAAATTATCAAGAGATGCTCCATGCTTCTGCAATAGAAAGTGCAATGTTACAGTTTTCATTTCATAAAATCACAAGTTATACCTTTTGCATCAATATTCTAAAATTTGTTATTTTTTGTAGTTTAATCCGTTTCTGAAAGATAGAAAATAAGATTTTATAATTTTAAAACAACTATCTTTGTTCAACTTCTTCCATGAAATATCTGATTTTTCTCTACACATTTTTAATAATTACATTAAATTTTTATTTAAAAACTAGAGGCCTGGTGCACAAAATACATGCACGGGTGGGGTCCTTAGGCCTGGTCGGCAATCAGGGACAATTGGGGCCAGGCGGATCAGGGCTGGGCCGGAGAGGAGGTGATGGTCGTCTGGCTGGGCGCAGAAGGAACAGATGCTGGGTGCTGATCATCAGCGCCTCGCCACTGTGCGGTTCCCTACCTCCCCCCTCCTCCTTCCCTCGCCACCACGCCACCACCAAGGCGGGCAGGCGGGTCAATCAGGGCCTGCTGGCTGGGGGGAGGGACAGGGCACAGGAGGTTGGCCACTGGCCCCAAGGAGGGAGCTGGCCCTCAGCCCCCTTGGAAAAGGGGCTGCGTCCACCGCCACTCACCCCCAGTTCCCTGTCCCAGCCTGGGAGTTGGGGGAAGGGACTGTGGGAGGTTGGCCAGCCTGGGGAAGTTGGCTGTGGGAGCACACTGACCACCAGGGGGCAGCTCCTGCATTGAGCATCTGCCCCCTGGTTGTCAGTGCACATTATAGCGTCTGGTCATTCCAGTCGTTCTGGCCACTTAAACCTCTGCCACCTATTATCTAGAATAATATATGCAAAATAACACATTTAATTAGTAAATCATTGTATAACAATAATAACTAGACATTATTGGGGATTTACTTTGTCCTAGCTACCTTGACAAGTGTTTTATAAATCTCATATTTAATGTTCACACTAGCTCTGTGAGTCATTTATTGTTATCCTATTTTTCCTAGAATGTATAAATGCAGAGTAAATATCATTTGATCTTAAGTTGCCCAAAGCCAAATGTACTATTTCTAAAAGGGAAAAATGTGTACTTCTAGTCCAAGTCTGTTTAACTCCAAAATATATTCTCATCAGATTGTGTCAAATATTCTTGGAAGACTGAACAGTGTGAATCATCATCCTCATTTCAGAGATGATAAATCACTCATGGCTTTTGAGTGATTTCCCCAGATCACATCAAAGAACAATGAAATCTGATCTTTCAAGCCCAAATTTTAGACTCCTCTCTGAACTTCAAACACCCCTCCTTGGTGGGGGAGGAGGCCAATTAAAAGCTTAAATGAGGGAGAATTTCTTCCCCCAAGTTCTCAAGAAGCAAGTGAGGGTCCATTTTACACAGTGACACATCCAATGGCTTATTGAAGATATAGAGCATTTATTTCTAATGAGAAATTAGACGTAGGCTTTTCAAGCTCCGGGTGATAATTTTCTTCAAAATTTTCAGAGCAGTTCCCAGAAACCTGAGGAAGTATCACTCTCTAAAGTTTAGTGCTACTGGTCCTTTCATCTCTTCCCCTTAATATGAAGCTTTTGCAAGCAAAGCCACTCTTAGAAACATATCTAAACTACAAATTTTCCTAAATTTGAAACATATCGAAACTACAAATTTTCCTAAATTTTTCTATTTCACATTCACATTTTCCATACTTTAAGGTGCATGTTAATTAAAGAGCACTGCTGTAAGGAAAACAATCAATTATGAAAATCATAGACTATCCATAAAAACAGGTGCATCAATTACCTCTCTCTAGAGGGATGGTTTGGGTTTGTCCACATTTAAGTATATAAATATTAATTAGGATAAATGATTTTTGCCAATGATTATTATATAGCAGGCACTGGTTAAGAATTAATTTTATTTAAAAGTTAAATATTGACATAATGTCTTGTTATTCCAAACGTATAGCTAAGGAAATGAGGCAGAGAGCTTAAGCAATTGCTAAAAGTCACACAGATGATGAGATGGATTGGGTCTTTGAAACCCTCCAGTCTAGCTCCTAACCCAGGGGTGGGCAAATTTTTTGACTCGAGGGCCACAATGAGTTCTTAAACTGGACCGGAACAAAAGCATGGATGGAGTGTTTGTGTGAACTAATATAAATTCAAAGTAAACATCATTACATAAAAGGGTACGGTCTTTTTTTTTTTTTTAGTTTTATTCATTTCAAACGGGCCAGATCCGGCCCGCGGGCCATAGTTTGCCCACGGCTGTCCTAACCACTGCATGTAACTACTTGGATGTGACATGCTTGCTCAATTTGAGCAGAGACTTGGAAGTTAAGCCCAACACAATTCAAAGGCAGATTTCAAGGCTATGAATGTCCCCAAATCAAATATCCTTCTTTCTCTCGAGTGCCCATCACCACCACCTATCTCTGGAACAGACATGGATCTCCATATGGATTGACTTAGTAAAGGCAGATGACCTAAAACTGTCCTGAATTTATTTCACTCACCCAACCCTGGACCGAATTGCTGGACAAATATGAATGAAACTAAGACCTGCCTCCAAGGTTGGCAGAAATAAGCTACTTTTCAGTTGTTTTTCTCTAATTTTTACCAATTCACACTTGATTAACTATAAACTATAAACATACTAGCCATACATTAGAAAAACTATTTAAAGTATCTAATGATTATATAGTTTATTTCCTATGTCTATATAGAATCATTACTTTATCCTGAAATCTGTATAGACTTAAAAAGTTAAAATCCTAAAAGATAAAACACAATAACTTAGTCTTTAACATATTTTTTTAAATTAAGACAGGTCATGTCTAGGCATAAAATTATCCATTTACATAAACAAAAAAGGATGGCTGCATACATTAGCATATCAAGCAATAATTCTGAATTCTGAGAAAAAAGCATTAAGCACTAAAATATGAAAAAAGCATTCTTTAACAGTTTGTAGTCTTGCATAAGACACTGTATATTGTATAACGTATATAATACATAACATTCCAGACTTACCAACAGCTTCTGAATGTACTCACTCAAAATCACAGCAACTTTTCTGGTGTTTTTAACGGCTCTACTGTAGATTAACGTTGTAGCACCCCGGATCCAGTTCACTACAACTATATTCACATCATGATGATTCAAAATCCTTATAAAGTTCGGAAGCCATGATGGAATGGAGCTCAGTGGTCTGTATCCATGAATAAGCCAGACTGTTTTCTTACTTGTGTTGAACTTAACATTAAGTGAATCATCCTGCTCCAACAGTGGCTCAGGACAGTTTAGGTTGTTCTTTGGATACATTAACAAAAACATCTTCACTTGGGGATTAAACAAATCACTGAAGGAATCCTTCATTGATAGCTTTGTAAATTCAAGGCATGGTCTTTTATTCTCTGGAAAAAAAAATCAGTCAAGCTGAGTACTGATATAGTATTTGATTCCATTCCCATTGCTCTTGCAAAAAGCAAGATTGAACTTGAAGGGTGGGGAGAATTTAATTTCATTATCACTTCAACACAATTTACTGAGTAACTACAATGTTGATTTGCTGATTATGTAAAATGAATTTTTGAACTAGAATTATTTAAAATTTACTATAAAATATAGAAATAAATAAAATTGATTAAAATTAAGAATTATTTTTATCTGTACAATATACTAGCAGCAATAGTTTGAGTAAAATTATTATTATTAATAAAGTGTGAACAGCAATAAAAGTAGGTAAGTTGATTATGAGCTTTAACTGTTATTCTGCAGAAAATAGCTACATATGGATAAGCATTAGAAAAAATATATTTTAACTGACTAGGGATCAAATAAATACAAATCAAAACAATAAGTTATCTTTTTCTTCCTACCAAATTAAGCAATAGTAGAAAAATCATTTTAATACTCAATATTTGTGAGGATAAATGTAACAAATATTCATTTACATGGATACTGATAATACCGCATCCTTTTGACATTTTACATGTGTGTGTATATCACACAGATAATCTTAAAATATTTATTCTTTCTGATTTTATTTCTAGGATTTATATTAATAAAATAAGCAATAATATTAAATGTAAAGTCATTAATCACAGGGTTAAGCATAAGCACACCAAAATGTAAGACACTTTAAATATCCTCTTATAAGTCTTCTCATGCATATGTTCATCTTATCTATCCTCCTACCTACCTATCTAGACTGTCCTGGGGACAGAGGCCTTTTGGCTCTGGTGCCTGCTCCTGCACTCCAAGCCCCGCCCCCGGCTTCCACACACGCTGCCTGACCCTGGCTCCCCAGCATCTGCACATGCCTCCCTGCTCCTGGCTCCCCAGCGCCAGTGTGCGAGCAAGCGGCCATGGGGCCAGAACTTTCCCAGCATGGCCCTGGCTGCCAGGTGCCTGTGTATGCAAATTAACCTGCCATCTTTTTCAGGTTAATTTGCATACTCACTCTGATTGGCTAGTAAGCATAGCAGAGGGATGGTTAATTTACATGTTTCTCTTTTATTATATAGGATATTTGATAACTATAAATATCCTATCTAATAAAAGACAAAAGGGTAATTAGCCATACCTCCGCTACTCTTCCCATCGGCTAATCAGCGAGATATGCAAATTAACTGCCAACAAAGATGGCGTCCGGCAGCCACGCAGCTGAAGCGAGCAGGAGGTTTGCTTGCTCTGGTGATGGAGGAAGCCAAGGTTCCCCACCTGCTGTGGCCCAGCTCTAAGCTCTGAAAGCAACAGCTCCAAAAGCAACAAAGTTTCAATTATAGAAGCTAAACAAACCCCAGATACCTGCTTTCAGTCAGCCGTGGCCTCAGAGCTGGGAGGGCCAGTGACGGCAACAAAGTTTCAATTATAGAAGGTAAATAAATCCCAGAATAAAAAAAAAAAAAAGAAAAAAAGGAGAGGCTGGGAGCTTCAGTCGCAGGCCAGCCTGAAAACAGCCCTCAGCCTCTCACCCAGTCTGGCCAGGCACCCAAGCGGGACCCCCACTCTGATCTGAAACACCCTTCAGGACAATCCAGCAGGCCACCACCTGTGCACCAGGCCTCTATCCGATATATTAAAAGGGTAATATGCAAACTGACCCTAACAGCAGAAAAACTGGGAATGACTGGTCATTATGACACACACTGACCACCAGGGGGCAGATGCTTAATGCAGGAGCTTCCCCCTGCTGGTCAGTGCGCTCCCACATGGGGAGCTTTGCTCAGCCGCAAGCCAGGCTGATTGTTGCCAGTACAGTGGTGGTATTGGGAGCCTCTCCTGCCTCCTCAGCAGCCCTAAGCATGTCTGACTGCAGCTTAGGCCTGCTCCCCGCTGGCAAGTGGACATCCCCTGAGGACTGCCAGGCTGCCAGAGGGATGTATGACTTCCAGCTTAAGCCCAATCCCCCGGGGAAGAGGCCTAAGCCAGCAGGTGGTCATCCCCTGAGGGGTCCCAGATTGCGAGAGGGCACAGGCCGGGCTGAGGGGTTTCCCCCCACCAAGTGCACAAATTTTTGTGCACCGGGCCTCTAGTGTTTTAATATATAAATATAATATCTTATATAATAAAAGGCTAACATGCAAATCAACCAAACAGTGGAACAACCAGTCACTATGACATGCAATGACCACCAAGGGGCAGACGCTCAACACAGGAGCATCTCAGGGGGAGTGCTGCTCAGCCAGAAACCAGGCTCATGGCTAGTGAGTACAGTGGCAGTGGTGGCAGCCTCTCCCACACCCACAGCAGCTTAAGAGTGTCCAACTGCCAGCTTTGGCCCACTCCCCATCCCCTGAGGACTCCTGGACTGCAAGAGGGCACAGGCCAGGCTGAGGGCCTCCCCCACAAGTGCATGAATTTTGTGCACCGGGCCTCTACTATATATATATTTGATAAACCATAAAAATGTTATTATTTATTCATTAAAATCATTCTAGTTTGGAAAGTATATATGTAATATTGTCACAATTATTTAGAAAAATATATGGGAGGAAGGCAATGAAAGAAAACATGACCTGCATTTAACTCCCGAGTTAATAGTGAAGAGATACTTAGTCAAGATACTTGGAAAATCTTGATACTTCATTTATTCTAAGTACTAGAAAATGAGGAAGTTAAGAAAAGGGATAAATCAAACCACAGTACAGTAACAGTACTTGCTATACTGTATAAATTGTATAAGGAATTATGTCCATCCACATTCCCACCACCCAGAACAGTAAGAAGGCCAAATGCAATTGATATATCCAAACGGTTAGTCCATTCCAAGCCAAGTTAGAGTTTACTTGGCCTAGGAATGAGTAATGGGGAATAACCCAATAAAATCCCTGCTAGAATATAAGGAAAAGAAATCACCCAAAACAATCAACACAGAGATCTATTATCCAGTAAAAGCTGTAAAAGTAATTTCAGAACACTATAGTACATTTATTAGACTGCAAGGACAATAATGTTTAAAAAAAGGAACAGGAGTCCATTAATATAAAATTTATTGGGGTAAAAATACAGCAGATTACAAAAAAAAAAAACAACAATAAAAATTGTAATAAATCATCTAACTCTACAACTTAAAGAATTAGAAAGAGAGCAAAAAGAAAACCCAGAATGAGCACAAGAAAGGAGATAATAAAGATCAGAGCATAAATAAGAGTCATAGAGACCAAATGAATAACACAAAAGATCAATGAAATGAAGAGCTGGTTCATTGAAAGGATAAACAAGATTGATGAACCCTCTAGACAGGCTCACCAAGAAAAAAAAGAGGGAGGACCCACATAAACAAAACCAGTAATGAAAGAGATGAAATAACAACAGACCCCACAGAAATAAAAATAATTGTTAAAAAATACTATGATCAACTCTATTCCAATAAACTCAACAATCTGGAGGAAATAGACATATTCATAGAAAAATTCAACTTTCCGAAACTCAATTAAGAAGAATCTAAAATCTCAGTAGGTCGATAACTATGGAAGAAATTGAAGCAATCATCAAAAAGCTTCCAACAAACAAAAGCCCAGGGCCAGACTTCACAGGGGAGTTATACCGAACATTCAAGGAAGAACTAAATCCTATCCTCCTCAGACTATTCCAAAAAATTCAAGAGGAAGGAACACTTCCAAGCTCATTCTATGAAGCCAGCATCACCCTAATACCAAAACCAGATAAAGACAACACAAAGAAAGAGAATTACAGGCCAATATCCCTCATGAACATAGATGCCAAGATCCTCAACAAAATTTTAGCAAATTGTATCCAGCATTACATCAGAAAGATCATACACCATGACCAAGTAGGATTTATCCCAGGGATGCAAGGATGGTACAATATCCGCAAATCAATAAATGTGATACAACACATAAACAAATTGAGAGGAAAAAACCACATAGTCATATCAATTGATGCAGAAAAAGCATTTGACAAAATCCAACACCCTTTCTTGATAAAAACCCTTGGCAAAATGGGAATAGAGGGATCATACCTCAATGTCATATAAAAAAAGCATTAAAAAACAAACCTGTAGGCAACATCATACTCAATGGGCAAAAAATATAAACCATTTCACCTAAGAACAGGAATGAGACAGGGATGCCCACTTTCACCACTGCTGTTCAACATAGTTCTGGAAGTGCTAGCCATAGCAATTAGACAAGAAAAAGAAATAAAAGATATCCAAATGGGAAAAGAAGTTGTAAAACTGTCCTCATTCACAGATGACATGATACTGTACATAGAAAAACCTAAAGACTCCATCAAAAAATTTTAGACTTAATAAATGAATTCGGCAATGTAGCAGGATACAAAATTAAAGCCAAGAAGTCTATGGCATTTCTACACACCAATAGTGAACTTACAGAAAGAAAGACTAAAAAGAAATCCCATTTACCATTGCACCAAAAAAATTAAGATACTTAAGAAAAAACTTAACTAAGGAGGTAAAATAACTGTACTCAGAAAATTACGGGACACTGAAGAAAGAGATAGAAGAAGACATAAACAGATGCAAGAACATACCGTGTTCATAGACTGGTAGAATCATCATTAAAATGTCCATACTACCCAAAGCAATCTATAGATTAAATGCACTCCCCATTAAAATACCAATGTCATATTTCAAACACCTAGAATGAACTCTTCAAAAATTCATCTGGAATAAAAAAAGACCTCGAATAGCTGCAGCAATCCTGAGAAAGAAGAACAAAGTAGGAGGGATCTCAATACCGGATATCAAACTGTATTACAAAACCATTGTTCTCCAAACTGCCTGGTACTGGCACAAGAACAGACATATAGACCAATGGAATAGAATAGAGAACCCAGACATCATCCCAAACCCACTATGCTCAGTTAATATTTGACAAAGGAGGCAAGAACAATGGAGTCAAGACATCCCCTTCAATAAATGGTGTTGGGAAAATTGGACAAATAAGTGCAAAAAAATGAAACTAGACCACCAACTTACACCATTCACAAAAATAAGCTCAAAATAGATAAAGGACTTAAATGTAAGACAGGAAACCATAAAAATATTAGAGGAATCCACAGGCAGCAAAATGTCAGACATATGCCAAAGCAATTTCTTCACCAATACAGCTCCTAGGGCAGTGATGGCGAACCTTTTGAGCTCAGTGTGCCAGCATTTTGAAAAACCCTAACTTAACTCTGGTGCCGTGTCACATATAGAAATTTTTTGATATTTGCAACCATAGTAAAACAAAGATGTATATTTTTGATATTTATTTTATATATTTAAATGCCATTTAACAAAGAAAAATCAACCAAAAAATGAGTTCGCGTGTCACCTCTGACACGCGTGTCATAGGTTTGCCATCACTGTCCTAGGACAATGGAAAAAAAGAGAAAATAACAAATGGGACTACATCAAAATAAAAAGCTTTTGTACAGCAAAAGAAACCATCCACAAAACAACAAGAAAGCCCACTGCATGAGAGAACATATTTGCCAATGTTATCACCAATAAGGGTTTAATCTCCAACATTTACTGGGAACTCATACAACTTAACAAGAGGAAGATAAACAACCCAATAAAAAAATGGGCAATGGACCTAGATAGATACTTTTTGAAAGAGAACATAAGAAAGGCCAAGAGACATATGAAAACATGCTCAAAGTCACTAATCATCCAGGAGATACAAATCAAAATGACAATGCAGTACCATCTCACACCTGTCAGAATGTCTGTCATCAAAAATGAAAAAATGACAAGTGCTGGCGAGGATGTGGAGAAAAGGTAGGAATGCACTGCTGGTGGGAATGAAGACTGGTGCAGCCACTGTGGAGAACAGTATTGGCTTTTCTCAAAAAACTAAAAATGGAACTTCTATTTGACCCAGTGATCCCACTTTAGGAATATATCCCAAGAAACTAGAAACACCAATCTGAAAGGATATATGCACCCCTATGTTCATAGCAGCACAATTTACCATAGCTAAGATTTGGAAACAGCCTAAGTGCCCATCAACAGATGAATGGATTAAAAAACAGCGGTACATCTACACAATGGAATACTATGCTGCAGTAAAACAAAACAAAAACAAACAAACAAAAAAGGAATTCTTACCATTTGCCACAGCATGGATGGACCTGGAGAGCATTATGCTAGGTGAAATAAGCCAGTCAGAGAAAGATAAATATCACATGATCTCACTCATTTGTGGATTATAATGAACAACATAAACTGATGAACAAAAACAGATCCAGAGACAGAGAAACATCAATCAGACCTTCAAACCTCAGGGTGAAGATAGGGGAGGGTGAGGGTAAAGGAAAGTGATCAACCAAAGGACTTGTATGCATGCATATAGGCCTAACCAATGGACAGAGACACCAGGGGGTGAGGGCATGAGTCAGGGGTTTGGGGCCAATCAGGGATAAGGACACATATGTAATACCTTAATCAATAAAGAAAAAATGTTTAAAAGTACAGTAGATTAAGATGAAACAGCGAATAATGAGAAACTCCTATTAGGAAAAAGTAAAAATACAATTGCATACATTAGAAATATTAAAACACTGTACATTAGGCAAATGACAAAAAAATAAATAAACTAGGAAAATAATTTTCTTTCTTTTCTCCCAGTGTACTTTGTGCCAGTTAAAATGTTCTGTGATAGATATGTTGCTACAGTAGTTTTCAAAGTGAGGTTAGTAGGGGAAACACATCAAGATGCTTGTTAAACCTGTTTTAAATCTTTATTATTGAAAGTATTACAGTTGTACTCTTTTTATCCCCATTCACCCCTTTCAGCCCACACCTGCCCCTTGCCCCACACCTTCACCACAATATTATCAGTGTCCATGTGTTATGCATACAAGTTCTTTGGTGAATCTCTTCCCACAAAGCTTCCCTCTGAAATATTTCCAAATAAAAGTAGGGAAGAAATTAATATACTTATTTATAAGATACTTTGAATGAAAGCAAATACCCCAATTGAACACAAAGTGAATGACAATTTTACAAAATAAAATATTGCTCATAAACTAATTGAAATGTACCTAACCTTCTTAAAAGTCAAATAAAGACGAATTAAACAATATTACCATGTCATTTTACCATTATATACATTGACCATCAACACCATGTATCACAAAATTTTTAATAGTGAACATTTATAAATTAACTAAATATATGGTAATGAGAAACTAGAAACATAAATTATGGTGTATCTATAGATAGGAACTATATGCAGCAATTAATAGTTCATATATACAGTTATAATGTTATCAATAGTGTATGATATTTATACAGTACTAGAGGCCTAGTGCATGACATTCATGCACGGGGCGGGCAGCGTGGTGGGGGGAGAGTCCTCTCAGCCTGGCCTGCGCCCTTTTGCAGCCCAGGAGCCCTCTGAGGATGTTCGTAGGGAGCGGGCCTAAGCCGTCAGTTGGACATCCTTAGTGCTACAACAGAGATGAGAGAGGCTCCTGCCACCGCTGCTGGGCTTGCCAGCCTTCAGCCCGGCTTCTGGCTGAGCGGCACTCCCTCTGTGGGAGCTCACTGACCACCAGGAGTCAGCTCCTGTATTGAACATCTGCCCCCTGGTGGAAAGTGAACATCATAGTGACAGGCCGTGCCGCCATTTGGTCAATTTGCATATTACCCTTTTATTATATAGGATTATATAGTATACTATATACACAGATACATATTTGTATACATACGCACATATTGTAATGGGGCTGGTAGGAAATAAAACAATTACTTTATTGTTATTTGTAATGATGGTGATATTAATGAAGATGTTTTATGTTTTTCTCTATTTCTGTTTTCTGTATTTTAATATTTTCTGAATGTTCTGGATCTAAATTATTTATTACTTTTATAATGACAAAAGTTGTTTAAATAGACTTCAGGTATTTAAAAATTATAACAAAAACAATATTATTAGCAAAAAATTAAAAACATCTAAAACAAAAAGAAAAATATTGATTCGTTAAATCCTGTTTGAAAACTAAGACATTGAGAGTCTGGGAATTTTACCGAGTAACTGTATTGTAATTAGAAACTCAGTAAGAGGGACCAAAATATTGTATTTCTTTGCCATGTAGGAAGATAATGACTCTGAAAAGGAAAATGGGGGCGAGGGGCTTGCAACCTAGTTCAGTATCTGGTTAAAACTGTAGTCTTACTTCCCCACTCTGACTGACTTGGGCAGAGTTGTGGACCATGACCCCAAGGCCCCCCAAGACTGACTTGGATGGAGCTTCGGGGACCCTCAGAGGCCTGCCACAGGAGGAGATATATAGGTCAGAGCCTCCCCACTAGTTCAGTTCAGGCTTTGGATCCTGAATTCCCCTGGACTAACAGATCTGCGAAATAAAGGTTAAACTTTCCTTCCTCAGAGTGCTGCCTGATCATTGTCCCATATATTCTGCCACAACTCTACCAATATTTCAACACAGAGATACACTGAGAGAGAATTCTAAAAATCTTCCGAGGTTTTGGCAGTAAACTGTTAAAAATATAAAAGGCATATGGTGATGTTAGGAACAATCATTCTAAGTCATTCAGCTGTGTCCCTGAAATATATTTCCATTATAGTGAGAATGACTGTGAAGAGGACAAGGAGATCGAATGGACAGAATTTCGATGTGTGGACAGTGAGCTACACATGGGTAGCTATGACCCAAGAATCTCTAGCTTCTCTCAAACATCTCTTATGACTTAAAAATTTCTCTTTTTCTTCTCATCTCTGAGCCTTGGTTCCTTCAAATAACTCATGTTATTCTAACTTTCTTTGATTTCAAACCCAATCTTAGTGATGGTAACCTTCAGAGACAAGTTAGCCTGTTTTGCAACTTTCAGCATTGACCAAATCAATAACAAAGAGGTCTCAAAACTCAGCTAAAAAAAGCTACTAATCCTGAAGGGGAAGATGGCTGCTGACGGGAAGGCAGTCTGCAAGATATTGTGAGAGGGAGAGAATAAAAGGAGAGCATGGGGATGTTATGAGGAGTGTATATTTGTGGGTGAGGGACACCTATCCTCCAAGGGACTGTTGGGGACTGCCGAAATGGGCTCCCCTGACCAGGAAGCCTCCACTGCTGCTGAAATCTCTCCAGAGCGACCAGGTTTGCCGTGGAGACCACGCCATCTTGAAGGGGTGAGTGGCTGTTATTAGAAGCCTATACAGCCTGGTCTCTACAACCACAACACCCAGCAACCAGCTATGAATCCAGGAACACAGGGTCTCTAGCAGCTCGAATACATGGACTCAGATGAGCTCTGCACCTTCTCATGGAAAGGTAAGATTTTGCCTAGGGCAGTGGTCAGCAAACTCATTAGTCAACATAGCCAAATATCAACAGTACAATGATTGAAATTTCTTTTGAGAGCCAAATTTTTAAAACTTAAACTATATAGGTAGGTACATTGTTATTAACTTAATTAGGGTACTCCTAAGGCTTAGGAAGAGCCACACTCAAGGGGCCAAAGAGCCACATATGGCTCGCGAGCTGCAGTTTGCCAACCACTGGCCTAAGGAAAAGTGAGGTCTGCAATACAGGCAGGAGAGGGAAATGCGAGAACGG